TCTGGCTGGTACCCGGTGATCGACATCTGTAGCTGCCAACAGCGGCGCAGGTAGGGCGCACGTGCATATATATACGTGATTTTCCACAGCCCTGCTGCCCTGTAGCAGTACTTCTGCTATAGGCCGGTCGGGAAGCAGTTAATATGTTTACCCCCCTTCACGACCAGGCCATTTTTTGCTAGACATACTGCGCTACTTTAACTGACAATTGCAGAGCCATGCAACACTGTACACAAATGAAATTTATATCATGTTTTCACACAAATAGAGCTTTCTTATGGTGGTATTTGATCACCACTGGGTTTTTTACTTGTTGCTTTAAATGAAAAAAGACTGAAAAGTTTTGGGAAAAAAACAATATTTTTGTACTTTTTGCTATAATGCATATTCCATAAAAAAATAAAATTAAATTAACATTTATTCATAAATTTAGACCAAAAATGTATTCTGGTATGTCTTTGGAAAAAAAATCTCAATAAGTGTATATTAATTGGTTTGTGTTAAAATTATAGCGTCTACAAATGACGGTATACTGTATATACTTGATTTTGCTCTTTTTACTAGTAATGGCAGTGATCAGTGACTCATAGCAGGATTGTCACTTTACTGCAACCTGAAAGTCGTACGACTTACAGTGCGCTTTTGCCAGGCGACTTTGAGTACTACTTTGAAGCAACTCTGAAGCAACTTGCAGGGAAAGTCTTGGTAATCTTCCTGTAATGTCAGATCCAAATCACATCAATAAAGATGAGGATCTGACTTTGAGGCAACTTCCATTAAAGTCTATGAGGGACAAGCCAGATAGAAGTCACCTTGAAGTAGTACAGGAACCTTTTCTAAAGTTGAAGCAACTTCAGTAATTAAGACAGCGCTCATTGATTAACATGGAATTTTACATGTCATGTGACTTGGGGTCTCACAAGTCGAATCCCAAGTCGCAGCAGTGTAAACTGAGTCTTAGAGAGATCTGTGTTGTTTACAAACACAGATCTCTCTCCTGTCACTAGCTCTGATGGCTGAATGATTCACGGCTTGGACCTGCAGATTGATATGTCAAGGTGCCAGTGACAGTGCGGGTAGGTGGGCGCATGTGCGTCCTCTACCTGGAAAAGCAAAAATCACATATATATTCGTGATTTTGCACAGCTGGCTCGCACTGTAACAGTAAAGCTACAGTGTGCGGTCGGCAAGCGGCTAAATCAGCAGGTTTCATTAGAACAATCCCTGGTAATTCTGCCGTGAAGGTCCTTGATTAGCCACTTTCTGCTACATGGCGACAAGTTGTTCTCCAGCATGGTCACCCTGTCACATCTACCTCTAGTGAAGGCTACAAGCAGCTTTGCCAGCACACATTGTTACTGTCAGGAAGTTAATCCAAAGCAGTGATATGAAGCTGACACTTGTGGGCTGGTGCCTCCACAAAGTAAACTAGGTGGCCGCCTAGGGCGTACTGCCACCTAGGGGCGCTTGGGCACAGCACAGGCCGGCACTCTGTGTGGGATGCCACCATATCATGAATGATCCTTCAGCTGAGAGGAGAGGCGGCAGAGGGGAGGAAGAAAGAACAGAGTAAGATGCCCAGTGTCTGGGGCGGGTGTAGCAGCTGAGCTGCACACACACCTTCCAGTGTTCCTCTCAGACTTAGTCCCTTACTGCAAGCTGGCTAGCGGCTGCTGACCACTGTGGAGTTCCAGTTGTTCTCTTTCCATTCATCAGTGGAGGTGGAGCTGTGCCTGCGGAGGAAGGTTATGTCTGACTCTGATGTCTCGCGTCTCTGTGAGTGTGGATCCATTATCCTCCACTCACTACAACTGTCACCCTGCCACTGCCAGCCACAGAAACGATTTCTCCTGCGCTCCGGGACCCAGGCCGGTGGTGAGTAGATGGGAAAAACACTCCAGAGAGGCAACCACCGGAGTATCCAAAGTCGTACAGCTCCAAACCAAGGCTGGGGAAGCCCGAACAAACTGTGAAGTGAAGCAACAAGAAGCGCACTAACCTTGTGCATTACCTCAGTAACCAAAATTTATTAAATGAAGGAATTGTACTCACAAACAGCGGATAAAAACAGGCATGCAAGTCCACCAAGGGACTTCAAACGCAAGAGACCAGCTCAAAAATCCCATCATGGGTGTAGGTACTCAGTCCAGCTGTCTAGTGAGTCCAAGAACTGTTCAAAGTTTTTGTGGTGTAAGGAATTGTCAAAAACGAGGGGTAGCAATACTGTGTCCAGGCTGCAAGAGCCCCAAAAAACAAGACAATGAACCAGAAACGATTTCTCCTGTGCTCCGGGACCCAGGCCGGTGGTGAGTAGATGGGAAAAACACTCCAGAGAGGCAACCACCGGAGTATCCAAAGTCGTGCAGCTCCAAACCACAAAAACTTTGAACAGTTCTTGGACTCACTAGACAGCTGGACTGAGTACCTACACCCATGATGGGATTCGCGCTGGTCTCTTGCGTTTGAAGTCCCTTGGTGGACTTACATGCCTGTTTTTATCCGCTGTTTGTGAGTACCATTCCTTCATTTAATAAATTTTGGTTACTGAGGTAATGCACAAGGTTGGTGCGCTTCTTGTTGTTTCACTTCACTGCCAGCCACAGATACAGTACATCCGTGACATGGATTTTGACTTTAATGTTGGTGCTGGTGGCATCTTATGGCACTTATGCAAATTTTTATGTTTTGATTTAACCTCCCTAGCGGTATTCCTGAGTGTAGCTCGGGGTAAAATTTCAGTACCAAAAGCAGTAACCCCGAGCTACACTCGGGCTTACCATGCGGCGCTGCATAGGGATTCCCTGCAGAGCTTACCTTGTCCTTCGCTCCCGCGATGTGTCCCCTGCAGCGTCCCCGGCCATCTTCTCTGGCCGATGCCGACATCCGGCTTCTGTGTTCCGGTCCCTGTGACGTCGGGACGTACAGGCGCCGGAACCGGCGGGAAATTTGAACATTTTAAAAAATGTCATTTTTTTCTAAACGAATTTTACATAGTAAAACATTGCTGTTTCAAACCATTTCACATACATTTTGTCCCTAGTGCTTTGTCCAGTGCCCTGTATGCATTTTGACTGTTCTTTCTGCCTGGAAACTTAGAAAAGTCCATGGCGTCCAAAAAGCGTCCCTTTAGGTCAAAAGTGCGGTTTTAGACCAGCTAGAGAACAGCGATAGTAAATCAGAACCACTTGCAGAATTGAGTGATAATGATTCGTGGAGAAATTCGTCATCAGACACTGAAAACGATTTTGCGACTTTGCTCAGCGATGTGCGAACTTGGCGCTATATTTCAAATTTCAGTGTTTTTGGTTTGATTATATTATTGAATTAAATGTATTATTATTATATTATTATTTTTTATGATTATTTATTAAATTATAATTTATGATTTTGTGTTTCAAATTTTTTCATACCCGGGATGTTTAATAGACTCTTGTTCGGACAGATTTCAGTGAGTTATTCCTAAAAATTACAGCCTACAATAAACAAACTACATATTTCCATGCAAAATAATGGTACCGCTTTCAGCACCAAAAATCTGAAATAATCATACCGCTAGGGAGGTTAATATTTTCTACTGCTTTTAATTTTTTTTTTCGGGGGGGGAGATGTGCAATTAGCTGGTCTTGCCTAGGGCACAAAATAGTCTACCACCAGCCCTGGTGACACTGGAGAAAGTGCAATGAGACAAAAAGTAGCTGAAGAAAGCTGCAGGAGATCAGCAGCATTAACTGCCTTCCGCCCGCCATATAGTACAATGACGGGCGCAAGGCGGTACTCTCATTCTAGGAGGACGTCATATGACATCCTCCCATTCTAAAGCACGCGTGCGCGGCATTGGGAGCACACAGCGCGGCGTTTGGCAGTGCTCTGTGTCCCTCGGACACAGCGGATCACCGATCAACGGAAAGAGCCAAAGATGTCGGCTTGGTCATGCGATCAGCTGTGTCCAATCACAGCTGATCACATGTAAACAGGGAAATGGCGGTTATCGGCATTTCTCTCTCCCACGAGCTGTCACACTGATGCTTGTGAGGAGAGGAGAGAGCCGGTAATCGGCATTCCTCGGGGGACATGTACACAGATCATCAGGGTACTGATGATCAGTGTGCCCTGATGATCTGTGTAGCCCCAGCAGTGCCACCTGTCAGTGCTCATCCATGCCACCTGCCAGTGCCCATCAGTGCCACATTTCAGTGCCTACCAGTGCACATCAATGCTACATATCAGTGCCCATCTGAGCTGCCTTTGTGTTACCCATCAGTGCCAGTCAGTGCCACCTATCAATGCCAGTCAGTGCCACCTATCAGTAGTGCCAGTCAGTGCCGCCTATCAGTAGTGCCAGTCAGTGCCGCCTAACAGTGCCAGTCAGTGCTGCCTATCAGTGCCAATCAGTGCCATATATGAGTGCTGCCTTTCAGTGATGCCTGTCAATGCCCATCAGTGTCACCTACCAGTGCCTCCTCATCAGTGCCATCTATCAGTGTCCATCAGTGCAGCCTATCAGTACCCATCACTACAGCCTCATTAGCGCACATCAGTGAAGGAGAAAAATCACTTATTTACAAAATTTTATAACAAAAAACGTTTTTTTTTTCAAAATTTTCAGTGGTTTTTGGTTTAAGAAAAAATAAAAAAACCCAGAGGTGATTAAATACCACCAAAATAAAGCTCTATCTGTCACAAAAAAATGATAACAATTTCATATGGGTACAGTGTTGCATGACCGTGCAATTGTCATTCAAGTGTGACATCGCTGAAAGCTGGAAATTGGCCTGGGCAGGAAGGGGTATAAGTGCCCTGTAGGCAAGTGGTTAAGCTGAAAAATGATGGAAAAAGTGAAACAGTTAAAAAATACCATTGTTTACGATATGCAGTGCACATAACAAAGGATCATCCGGTTATGCTTGACAATACTAATGTTATGTGTGCAGTTTCTGCTGTCTTCCATTTGTGTGGAGTATGTAGGAAATGGTACGTGTATAGAGTACACATGTACTTACCAAGGGTGGCGAGGCTTTGAATCGTTTCCTCCCCCATCCAGGGTGGCCATCTCTCATCAGAACTAAATACAAAGCAGAATTATGTGATTGAATGATATATTGACACAGAGAATGTGAGGATCACTGAACACAGTCTGTCACATCTCATCACCTGTAGTGTTCAGTACATCAGAAGAGTAGACAGTGTATAAAGTGTACCTAGTGCTCACACTCCCAGCACCAGCCAGCTCTTGTATTGCCTTCCATTTTGGTTCCCAAGGAAACCATGGCATCCTTAGCAACCATTGTAAGCAGTGGCTCTTTTTGATGAGGTCACTAAAGCGGGCCAGTTTTCATGAGAACGCCTGGCTTCGCATTGTCAGAGGCGGTTTGTTCAGCAGGGGTCAGTTAGAGTCCTGGTGGGACAACGCAGAACTGATTTAAATAACATCAGACGTTTGCCCGAGAAAGTCCGTCATTTCTGAAAACGGACAGGGAAATGAAATCCCACAGCGAGCCGTGAGCGCCATCTAGTGAGGGAAAGAGGGAACAGCAGGAAAGACCTGTGCTGAAAAATGTGTAGACTGTGATGTTTCTGCACTATATTCCAAAAAGTTTTGGGACGCCTGTCTTTACCAGGGGCGGACTGACCATTTGGAAACTCGGGCGCTGCCCGAGGGCCCGGGGTCAGTAGGGGGCCCCATGAGATGACCTTTGGTACCTTTTTCATAGGCTTTTTTGAGTTTGGGCAAGGACACAGGGGCCCCATGATCCCCTATTGCCCGGGGGCCCCATGAGTTGTCAGTCCACCCCTGGTCTTTACACACACATGAACTTTAATGGCATCCCAGTCTTAGTCTGTAGGGTTCAATATTGAGTTGGCCCACCCTTTGCAGCTATAACAGCTTCAACTCTTCTGGGAAGGCTGTACACAAGGTTTAGGAGTGTGTCTATGGGAATGTTTGACCATTCTTCCAGAAGCGCATTTGTGAGGTCAGGCACTGATGTCAGACAAGAAGGCCTGGCCCACAGTCTCTGCTCTAATTCATCCCAAAGGTGTTCTATCGGGTTGAGGTCAGGACGCTTTGCACGCCAGTCAAGTTCCTCCACCCCAAACTCGCTCATCCATGTCTTTATGGACCTTGCTTTGTGCACTGGTGCAGGGGCGGACTGACAACTCATGGGGCCCCCGGGCAATAGCGGATCATGGGGCCCCTGTGTCCTTGCCCAAGCTCAAAAAAGCCTATGAAAAAGGTAGCAGGGGCATCTCATGGGGCCCCCTACTGACCCAGGGCCCTCGGGCAGTGCCCGAGTTTCCAAATGGTCAGTCCGCCCCTGCACTGGTGTGCAGTCATGTTGGAACAGGAAGGGGCCATCCCCAAACTGTTCCCACAAAGTTGGGAGCATGAGATTGTCCAAAATGTCTCTAACGCCTTAAGAGTTCCCTTCACTGGAACTAAGGGGCCAAGCCCAACCCCTGAAAAACAACCCCACACCATAATCTCCCCCCTACCAAATTTTACACTTGGCACAATGCAGTCAGGTAAGTACCATTCTTCTTATTCGTCACTCCAGAGAACACGTCTCCAGTGTTCTAGAGTCCAGTGAGGGCGTGCTTTACACCACGGCATCCGACGCTTTGCATTGCACTTGGCGATGCAAGGATTGGATGCAGCTGCTCGGCCATGAAAACCCATTCCATGAAGCTCTCTACGCACTGTTGTGCTAATCTGAAGGCCACCCGAAGTTTGGAGGTCTATTGATTCTTCAGGCAGTTGGCGACTTCTGAGCACTGTGCGCTTCAGCAAGCATGACACTCTGTCATTTTACATAGCCTACCACTTTGTGGCTGAGTTTCTTTTGTTCCCAATTTCTTCCACTTTGTTATAACACCACTAAAAGTTGACCGCGGAATATTTAGTAGCAAGGAAATTTCATGGATGGACTTATTGCACAGGTGGCAACCTATCACAGGACCACGCTCAAATTCACTGAGCTCCTGGGAGCGACCCATTCTTTCACAAATGTTTGTAGAAGCAGTCTGCATGCCTAGGTGCTTGAATTTATACTCCTGTGGCCATGGAGGTGATTGGAACACTTTAATCCAATGATTTGGAGGGCTGGCCTAATACATTTGGCAATATAGTGTATGTTTGGTGTGAAAATCTAGTGGTTACCTGTAGTGAGGGATGTATGAGCCACCCTGTATGGAGGGGCCAACATTTGTACCTAGCTGCAGGTAACCACTGGATGATGGATTAATTTGAACAGCAATGGCCATCAGATTGCCATTGCTTTATACGGGGTTCCCACCACAACTGTTCACATATACCACTGTTCCCAGCCACAAGAACCTGCTGTATGTCCCTAAATGCCCTTATCAACGTAGAGAGCTCATTCACAAGTACGGCAGCCCTCTTTGCTCCTCTGAAAAGTGATCCAGGGTGGATCCCTGGCGATGACCTCTATGATTAAGCCCAATGTGGGTGAAACATGTCAGAGAGGCATTGATGGGCTGGGATCTGAGCTGAAGCCTGTTTTTCATTTACCTTTGTAGCACCCTCCTAGTTAGCTAGGGGGAGCTAAACTTCTAATTGTTAGTCAAAGCACTGAATCCCCTGCCCAGGGATTCACCCACTACAGCTGGATGAGGAGAGGATTCATCTGGGGTCTAGGGTGGTACAACAGGAGATGTTGGCTAGCTCTCCAGAAGAATGTTTGCTGTAAAGACTTGTACATAGTTGCTAAGGAGTTTGTCCTCTGTTGCCATTAGCCTTGGACATCCCATACACGCCTTACCCCATCCAAGTTCAATTCCCTAATAAAACTTCAAAACAAACTCAAGGACTGGTTACTGTCTCCTGGATGCAAGACTGAGGGTAGAAAATGCATGTTGCCTGGCTGTGCAGGACTATAGGGGGACCCAAACTTCAGCAACTCCTAAGGGGGTAGTGCTACACCTTACATTAGAGTTAATCACAGCGTGCAGTGGTACCTGCATGCCATATTATATTTTGGACAAGATGCTCTACCTCTGCTAGCACCTGAATACAGGGTGTAAACCTGGATGACTGATACTACAGGCTTGGAGCAGCGCCAATCTGTTATGATATTTATTCAGTCCACAAGTTAATGTTCCTGATACTTAATTGACCATCAATGATAAGTTCCATGGTTATCTGTATGGAACTTTGTTTGATGTAAGAACAGATGATAATTATTTAAGGTATTTGTTCTAACCATAGCCAAACTGGATACCACAGGACATCGCTGCCGCTGGTTCAACGCCTTATCCAACTATCAGTTCACCCTGAAGTACATTTGTGGCCCAACAAACATTAGAGTTGAAGCTCTATCTACTATATATGTCCACGATTGTCTTCTGTTACTGTAAACAGGGAATGTGAAGATCTACCTGGACCTGGCAGTGAGATTTTGCTATGGCTGCAATAATGGTAGATCAAATGGCCTTTTCTGAACTGCAGCCAATAGACTCCATACAGTCATGACCAAAAATATTGGCACCTCTGCCTTTCTGTCAGATAATGAGCCACTTTGGCCCCGAAAACTGTTGCAATTCCAAATGTTTAGGCATTGTCTTGTTTATTTCTTTTGTTTGTATTGGGATGACACAAAAAGGTAGAGAAACAAAAAGCAAAATCTGACACATTTCACACAAAACACCAAAAATGGACTGGCACCTTCTCAAAATTGTAAGAAATAATTACATTGCAAGTTTGTGATGCTCCTGTAATTTGTAATTAAACTCACTTGTAGCAATTAACAGGTGCTGACACTATAGAAATTACACCGGCAACCAGTTAAAATGGTAAAAAATTGACTGAACCTTTCTGTTGTGTGTTTCTATGTGCCACATGGAGCATGGGGAAGAGAAAGAGCAGCATAGGTCTGAGGATTTGACAACAAAAATTGTGGAAAAGCATGGACAATCGCAGGTAACAAGTCCATCTCCAGAGATCTTAATCTTTCTGTGTCCACCGTGCCCAACATTGTCAAGGAGCTGTAAGCACATGGCACTGAATCTAATCTACCTCAACGTGGATGAAAGAGATCAGATTGCAACAAAGGATTGTTCTAATGGTGGCTAAAGAACCTCAATCAACTTCCAGACAAATTCAAGCTGACCTTCAGGCACAGGGTACAACTGTGTTAGCTTGCATTATACATTGCCATCTGAATGAAAAAAGACGCTATAGTTGGAAACCCAAGAAGACTTCACTGCTGACACAGAAACATAAAAGGTCAGATTGGAGTTTGCCAAAACTTACCAGTGGAAGCCAAATACTTTTGGGAGAATGTGCTATGAACAGACCAGGGGCGGACTGACCATTTGGAAACTTGGGCACTGCCCGAGGGCCCGGGGTCAGTAAGGGGCCCCATGAGATGCCCCTGGTACCTTTTTCATAGGCTTTTTTGAGTTTGGGCAAGGACACAGGGGCCCCATGATCCCCTATTGCCCGGGGGCCCCATGAGTTGTCAGTCCGCCCCTGGAACAGACAAAACAAAATTACAGCTTTTTGGTAAAGCCCATCATTCTACTGTTTTCAGAAAAATAAATAAGGCCTTTAACCACTTGCCGTCCGCCTACTGTTTTTAAACGGCACTCCAGGAGTGGGTTGGCGTTCATAAACGGCACCCGCTATTTCTAGTTGAGCGCGCTCCCTGGGAGCGCGCAGCACCGCGATCTGGTGCCTGCTGTGTCCTCCAGACACAGTGAAACACCGATCGTCTGCCGGGACCTCTGTACGAGGTCCCGATCATGTGATCACTGATTGGCCAATCAGTGATCACATGCAAAGTAGTAAGCAAGATGTCACTTGTGACATCATTGCTTACTACGTGTGAAAGCTGTGAATGATCAGAGGTCACATGGTACAGGGCTATTCACAACAACCTTGTACCATGTGACAAGCTCTGACCAATCACAGCTCACACAGTATTTCTCAATGGATGCAAGAATGCAGACAGAGAGAAAGAGAAATGATTGCTTTTACATCTTATATGGGTGTAAAAGCAATCACTGTAAAAAAAAAAATCTTGATCACCCCTC